ATACTTGGGCAATGCCAGATCATCAGCTAGTATTCTATAAAGAAGGGCTTTATATTTTGTAATTTAATTCACTCCAATTGTCTAGATGAAACTAGAAATTTGTCTTAAATTAACTTTCATAAAAACAGTAACACCCAAAATTAACCTCCAATTCTTCTAATGAAAGGAATGTCATGTTTCAATAAAAGAGAATGTCATTTTTGCCTAGCAAGGATTCAGTAAATTTTGTCCAAGGTATTTATGTTTCCATTAACTGCAGAAGTTACAGTAGTCCCTGAGTTTCTGTCCCAAAATAATAGGCGTAATCTAACATACATCAATATGTTTAATTATCCTTAACCATTACATCCCTCCATGCTTTAATTCAACTGAAAAACTGCAAAGTACTATCAGTGCTGCCTGATTTGAAAGAAGACAGGCAACAGCTTGCATTTGATAATACTTAATGGCATAAAAGAAAATAAGTTTATATACAAATGGGTTAACCCCCCTATTACTATTATCAATATTGCAAAAATAGCAAAATAGACTGTTATTTTATGCATTAATTTCATTTTATCTTTTAGCATAACTAAAAAATTATATTCACAATTATACAAATGGAGAGATTTGTCAAATGTAAAGATTAGATGGATACTGCTACACTGCACTATAGTGCTACTGGATACTGACTAATGAAGCATTCTGAATAAAATAAATATCTGGAAGTTTCAACTAGTTTAAAATTCATAATGGAAAGCTATATGCCCCCCCTCCGTATATTACACATCTGTTCCATGAATTGAATTACTTGCTAGTTTGCTTCTGGTCCAATTAAAGCTGTTTGTTCTGATCTTTAAAGGCCTCATGGCATGGGACTAAGTTATCTGAGGGACTATCTCCCCTGACTATATCTCTTCTTCCCAGTAGAAGTGTTATGCTGCAGCTCCCATCTTCAGAAACAACAGGACCAGAAGATGGGCTTTTCCTCCATGGCACCTGCCCTGTGAAACTCTGTTTCATCCCAATAAGAGATTTGCCCCATCCTTGACATTCTTTCAGAAGTCTTTTAAAACATGGCTTTTATTACAGGCCTGAGGATTTGATGAGATGGCTGCATTGTTTTTAACTTCAATTCTCTGTAGTTATTAAATGTGGTTATATAAATGTGATTAATAAATAAATGATTTCACTTTCAGCTTCTGAACTGGGAATCAATATAATAGAAAAATTATTGATATGTTTCCAAATATGCAAGATTTAATTTCTTTTTCAAAAAATTATTTGTTTTTACATATATATTGTAATACACGTGTTTTGTTTTATGTGTATACATACTTTTTACTTATTCATATATTATAGAGACAAAAAATTAAGAAAATTTTAATACTAATTTTTGAGGAAGGACAAAATTCAATATATGAGAAAAAGTGTTTTTCTTCTTTAGCAAAAGCCCTCTATTAATGTTTCTGGGAAATAAAACAGTTGATTTAGAATCCCCTTTAAATAGCCACAAGTGATGATGAAGCAATATTTTCGGAGGTAATTTTTCAAGGAGTACTAGGACAACTACATGAATATAATGAAGAAATACAAAGAAAAAATTCTTAGCTACCAGAAAAAATCTCTAATCAACATCATAATTACCATATTTCTTCTACAGATCTGGAAATGATGCACTATCTAGCAAAAGGATTGGGGTAAATTATATGGCTTGGCCAACATATTTTATACTAATCATTGATAACATGTTTTATGCACATAATAAACAATTTGATCTGGATATATTCTGCCCCACATAGATATATTGTCTATGAAGTAAAGAGTAGATACAGTATAGAGAAAGGAAAAGGGAGAGATTAATTTATCCTTTTAAATGGAAAACAGACTTAGCAACCATTCCAACTGCTGTGGTTTGAAATCCCTGTAGACCTGTCAAACTAAAAAGGCAAGAGTGAACTCAAAATTTTAAAGCAAGTATGCAGTATAAATGATTTTTTAAAAATACTAGCTCATGGGTATAAAGATCTCTGTGACTGTTTAGCAAAGTAACCCAAACAGCAGAATTTATATTAATGGATGTAAACATTTCTATGAAGAAAAAAATATCCTTTTATGTGTTCTAATCAGGTCTTTTTAAAAAATTCTAAACACAGCTGTCATCTTCACTGTCTCTCCAATGACGCCAGATGCCCAGTTCATCAAGGAAATGCAGGAAAACAATGATTTGAAAGCAATTAGAAGTACCGAGACTCATATTAAAATGTGATAACACTATCCTAGTGGGAATTCAAGGCACCATTGCATTTCTGACATTTCTGTGTTGCCAGAGATGAACATGTGTTAGAAATGGAGTTCTCCCTCCCCTTGACACTGAATGAGGATGAGTGGCTATCATGTGGGAATTTTATTTCTAAAGCCAATGAAAGAAATTAAATTAATATAAGGCATTTTTAAAAATAATCCATGTGTTCAAACGTATTTTTAAGAAGAAAAAATCTTTACCTTACCAGATTTTTTTTCATGAACATGAAGCAAATATTAACCAAACCAGTTCTATTGTGAGATGGGAGGCAGAAAACATCACAGCCATCAACATGCAAGGTCTTTTGATAGATGATAGATAGATAGATAGATAGATAGATAGATAGATAGATAGATAGATAGATAGATAGATAGATAGATAGATAGATAGATAGATTCCATGTAAAAGTGTATAGCAGTATGAACACTGTTTTGCCAGTGTCTTGTGCCACTACAAATTGACTGATATTAGTGACATCTAGTTTAGAAGCAGTCATGTTCTCATACAGTGATTTTATAAACTTATTTTCATGCAAGGAGCAATTTATGGAAAAATGTCTCTCACCTTAAAAAGCAGATCATTACACATAGTCCTCAACTTAAATCATTTGTATAATCTCACAGGTTTTTCACACTTAACGACTATTGCAGTATCTCCATGGTCATATGATCAAAATTTGGAGACTTGGGAACTGGTTTATATTTATGAAGGTAGCATGTCCCAGGGTCATGTGATCATCTTTTGCAATGAAGCTAATGGGGATGCCAGATTAAGTTAACAATTGTGCTTCTAACTTAACAACTTTTCTCACTGATAGACCCCCCTATGTGAGAGTTGGGACTAATATTTCTAACACCATGTTTCTGAGCACAGATTCTATTCAGGGCTCTGTCCTAAGCCTGCTGTTGTTCACCTTGTTGACCCATGACTGTTGTGCGATGTTTGCTACCAACTATATTGTGAAGTATGCAGATGATATAACAGTGGTGGGCCTTATTCAAGATGATAATGAAGATGATTACCAGGAGCAGGTTGAGAGTTTGATGAAATGGTATAATAAAAACAGCCTGGTTTTAAATGTAGGAAAAACAAAAGATCTCACTGTTGATTTCAGAAAAGGCAGGCATAGCCATACACCTCTGAGTATTAACGATTTAACTGTGGAGGTGGTTAATAATATCAGTTTTTTGAGTATGGAACTGACAAGCAGGTTAACTTGGTCACTCAACAGTGAGACACCGATGAAGTAGTCACAGCAGCAACTGCATTTTCTGTGTGATTCCTTCCCCTATCCTTACCACTTTCTATAGAAGAACAATTGAAAATATCCTGTTGTATTGTATTATTGTGTAGCTTGAAAGTATTGTTTCAGACAGAAAGGCTGTGCAGAGAGTGGTGCGGATGACAGAAAACATTATTGGAAGTTCATTTCCTTCTATCCAGGACATAGTATATTAGCAATTCTGGACCGAGTCAGGGATGTTGCACATCCTCTCCATAAATGGTTTTCTTTGTTGCCTTCTAGGAGGAGATGCTTTCCAAAGCAGAACACCGAAACACCATTCCGGTATGGTGACCACTGCTCCCAGCTGCCACTGGTACACCCGTACCGGGCCGTACCACCCGGAAGCCACCTCTGGTACATATATATGTATATATACTCTGTGTTTGTGTGTGTGTGTGTGTGTGTGTGTGTGTGTGTTTGTGTGTGGGCACTGCCAGGGTGTTCACAGAAAAAGTGACAATAAAGTTTATCTTATCTAACTGTACTGATTCACTTAACAATTGTGGCAAGAACGGGCATAAAATTCACCAAAACTCATTTAATATTTTAGCAACAGAAATTTTGGACTCAAATGTGGTCATAAGTCCATGGCTATCTGTATTATCTTGCACCAATATCAATTTCTGAGCATATTTTAGCATGTATATAGTATACAAAGGTACCGTTTCTTTTTATGGCAAGGAGTAACTGGCAATGTACTACAGAGAACCTGAAATCTGTATCACATAGACTGCAAATCATGTCTCTTAAAAATATTTTCCTTCTACAAATCTACCTAGTAAGGAACCATGCTGAATCCGTCAAGGCATTTTAATACCACGAATTCCATTTGATTTCCTAAATGTAAGAACTGACATACACAAAAATGAAACACATATGGATCTGTAGCACTTTTGTATAAACTATACTAAAATGGCTGAACATTAAGTACATTTTTATTGAATTGTAAAACATAATTCGTTAAAAAGCAGTTTCTAATATTACATAAATTAAAAAGCTTTAAAAATTTATCTTCTTTTACTTCAAAGCAAGAATCATATACAAAATTAAAGAAGAAAAATAAAAGGAAAAATACCACTAGGAAATAGGGAAAAGATGGATATCAAAGAACATGATGGAAAAGAATCAGCAAGATTTTTACTTTAAAAAACTTTTTCAAACCAGTTTCAGAGACTTGAACAAAATTAAAAGTAATTCAAGCAAACTGCCAAAATATAGAAGATCCATGTCTATGCTATATAATGAACTGTAAAGAGTTGTTGAGCGAGGAAACAGACATCCCAGGTCAACATGTTAGGAAAAAGTTTTTGCTAGCTAATAAAGTTTGCAGATTTATTTCAATGTAATATATTATCCCCCTAGCATCTGTAAACAGACTGTTAGTCTACATCATCATCTACTTTCTTTAAAAAAATATTAATGTACACTCACCTCCCGGTAGGAATCCCCACTGATACCTAAAAAAAGAAATATGACAAAGACCTGTTGAAAAACAGAATCTGCACAAAAGTTTGTATCTATAAAGTTTGTATTTTCTATTGACTGCCGTTATTTCTAGACATCTTAACAGACTGTATATTAAGCAGTTTTTTAATTTCCATTTTATATGGAATTTACCTGGAATCAATTTTTCTACTGTTATTTTACTATTTTTAGCAAATCCAAATCTATAAAAGTAAAATTAGCCAAACCTGATCAAACGAATTGAGATTTTTAAAATGTTCAACTTAAATAGCATTGTCATCAGAGGTGGGTTACCAATTTTTTTACTACCAGTTTGGGTGTGCGCCCGTGCGTATTTGCATGCATGCGCAATGTGCTGAAGCATCCAGGTGGATGCGCGGAGCCTCGCACCACCGCTACTACCAGTTCGGCCAAACCGGAAGCAACCTATCTCTCTGATTGTCATACAGATAGTCCTCAATTTACTGTACAATCTTTCATTTTGTGACCGTTCAAAGTTAAAATGGCAATGAAAAACTATACTTATGATCATTTCATCATCCCCATGGTCACATAATCAAAATTTGGATGCTTGGCAACTGGCCTATGTTTATGTTGCACTGTCGCAAGGTCATGTGATCACTTTTGCAAATTCAGTGGGGAAGCCAGATTCACTTTACAACCATGTTACTAATTTAACAACTGCAGCAATTTATTTAACAACTGTAGGAAAAAAAATGTCATAAAATGGGGCAAAATTCAACTAACAACTGTCTCACTTTGCAACAGAAATGTTGGGTTCAATTGTGGTCACAAGTCAAGAACTACCTGTATTTTCAAACTTACATTTTTTCCCCAAAAATTCTACTATCTTTAATGATGAAAGATGAATAGTAAGTATCTTTTGATTCCTAATTGTAAAACTGATGAAAAAGTAATGTTAGCGCTAAGATTTTTCTGGAAGAGTTCTTTCAGTTGAAAGATGCTCCATTAGTTATATCAGACACATTAAGTGCAGTTTAGGACAGCTTGACATTTCCTGCTTGGGCAATCACCAGTATTGGCCATCACCACTTCCTGACTGCAGACATGGGTGACCTTTTTCTTTTTTCTATCCCAGGCCTATTGCAAATGCCTGTATTTCCCAGCTGCAGTTCAAATCTGCTGTTGGCACCTCCAAGACAGTTTAAGCCAGAGATGTCCAAAGTCCGGCCCTGGGGACAATTGCGGCCCGTTTTTCAATTTTGAGTGGCCCGTAGCCTCTTCTCCCCACTGGAGTTATTTATTTAGTCTTTCAAAGAATAGTTCATTTTCATTTAATGTTAATGGTTCAAAGAATGTCAGGCTGAATGGTCGGCTCACACATTTTCACCTCACCAAATCTAGCCCTCCTTGCAAAAAGTTTGGACACCCCGGTCTAAGTACTTTACAGGAAAAGGACTCTAGCACCTTGATGTATTTTTGTAACAGACTTAGATCCAACTGATAGTACTGTCTGCTGGGAATATTTCCCTTCAGCAATTGGTTGGTTACCATGAACTATTGGGCTGCTATGCTCTATGTTAGTTGGCAATTGTTGGGTTTTTTAAAAAAAAATATTGTAATGCCCCATTAAAGTCTAAAAAGTCATGTATTCAATTCTGATGCCTCTCACTGGGCACCCTTTCCATTCCTGCCCAGACTGAATAAACCCTGTTACCTTTGTTTTCACACTCCTTGCCTATGCAGCACTTTACTTCTCTTTAATTGTTTTTTAAGTCTTTTAAGTTGCAAGTTATGAACAATTTTGTTTTTAAGAAACTGAACGATCTGTTCTTTCTTGCTACAAAGGTTTTGTACTGTCCTATGACCATAATAAGGATTTGATTTGAAGTTTCTGTGGACCTTCAAAAGAATGTAAAAGTGAAAGAACAACCTGTTTTCTCAATGCTTTGATTATTGTAACATCTAAGGGAGAAAATAAAAAATAAAAAGTCAGTGTTAGTGTCCAAAAAATTGTGTGGGAAGGGATATGAAGGTATCCACGTATGCAAATAACTGGGAAAGGAAAGGAAAGTCACAGAGATTAGTGAGGAGATAAAAGAAGATTGGTAGATGAATTCAGCCAGTGAGATTTGCCTTTCCTGCAAGGGTGGAAAGGACAAAAAAACTAGAACAATCAATCAGGTTTTGCAATGGCTATTGTTATGTATTGAATATATATAGTTGTGTAAAACCCTGCTAAAGTGAAACGAACCTTTAGATGACCCTATGAACAGCTCCAACTACTTGGAGGGAAACTTAGAACATTCATATTTGGGCGGGCTTTCTCAAGTATTATGATTGGTTAAGGCCCTTTGGGCCCAGGGTATAAATTAGAGGCATTGCCTGCTGTTCCTCAGTTAAAAATTTTCATTCAATAAATGTTATTATATCTATGCTGGTTGTTTCATGCCTACTGAGCTCACTACATAGTAGCCATTGTTCAGTCTGAGCACCAGCCAGACACTGTTGATAACTGCAATTCAGTTTGGAATTTCTGAACTTGGCTTTAAAAACAGCTAGGAGCTGTACAGGAGACAAGACGCTTTGTCTAAAGTGCAGAATTGGCCATAAAATCACCTGCAAATTGCTTATCTAAAGCAAAAATGAACCAACTTTTGAATTTTACTTGAGAAGTAAAACTTAATATTTAAAAGTACCCACACAAAATCAGTAAATCAGGGGAATTTTTTAAACATTAAGCATTATAATAAAATAAAATAAAATGTAGAGGAAGTGAAACAATAAAACTAAACAGGTGGAAGCTATATAATGGCATATCATTGATTTCAAAGGGAAATCATATGATGAAATTTCAGTCGCAGTAAAGAAGGGTTCTAGAGCCATACAAAGATTTTTCAATACATGCTTTCAATCATTTAATTATCTATCCCAATATAAAAGCTGATTCAATGGCACACATATAACTTGGATCTTAGTTTAAGAGGCAAAGGTATGATATACAAATTATACTGAGCCATGGAATAAAACTACATAGACCTCAAGGCTTTTGTCAATTTTCACTTTAGCATTAACAAACTGCTAATAAATTATAGTACTTTTTCCTCCATATTGCCTTGAATGTAATTCCTGGGTTCCTACTGTTAATATTACCATGAATCTAGTCCTGGAAAGTAATGTAACAAGATCAATATTTGATTTCATTTATATATTTTTTCATTTTGATAATACTTTACAAGATGATGCTTCACAATAATATGAAAGGACATGGTTAGAAGATGGTAATCAAGGACATGCATTATTGGAGTTTTGAAATATTTTGAGGAATTTTCAATATTATTTTGTCAAATATTGCTTTGAATAGCAGTAAAAATGACATTTCTGCTATACTTTTAAAGAGAAAATAAGGCCTAATGGCTAAGGCATCAGGCTAGAAACTGGGAAACTGAGTTCTAGTCCTACATTAAGCATGAAGGTTGGCTTGAATCAGCACACCTCACAAACTTGTTATTGTGAGCAAAAGGGGAGGAAATAGTTCTTGATATGTTTGTTGACAAGCTATTTATAAAAATAACAAAGGCAGTAAATAAACTTTGAAATACACAGAATCACAGAATCATAAAGAAATTTGGTGTGTATGGGGGGGGGGGCAAACTTTGATAAGAACAGGTTATATTTACTTGGCTACATTAGCCCATGCCCTTCTCAACAGTTAGAATACTGTAGTATTTTATACTTAGGGCTGCTCCTAAAGAGCTTTCAGAAATTAAAGTAGCCCAAAATGAAACACCCACATCCTTTGGATGATCAACATTGGGAACATATTACACCAGTTTTGCTACATTGGTAACCAGTGGGAATCTGGTTAAATTTAAGGCACTGGTGTTGTTCTATAAAAGCCTTATATGACTTGGCACACATATGCTTTCATAACTACATACTCACACCCATAATTATAAGCTCAACCAATTAGACATACCAAGTAGAAACTGCTGCAAATCTTGCATTTTGGGGAGATTTGGGCCTTGAGGAGAGGTGATGCTGCTTCTAATTAGCAGTGCCGACCATGTGGATCAGCTTCCCAAGCCAACTAATTCTCTGTTGGTCCTTCAGAAGTTCCTTGAAGACCAATTTTTTTTTTCATATAACTTTTTCCTGGTATGAATAGTGCATCTTTATGTTTATTAGCAGTTTATTTCACATAATTATTTTTTTCTTTTTTTGTTGCAGTTTTTTTCCTATTGTGGTTGTTGTAATTCATATCTGTTCAATGTAAACTTCTGAGAATATTTTTATTGTATCGGCAATAAAAATGATACTTTAATATTTACTTTAATAAATATTATTAAATATTAAGCTGTAATAAATGATACATTCTTTTTAACTTTCTATTACTTACATTCCACACCATTCATTGGATTCTGAGCAGATAGCAATAGGATAAAACATAAAATACAAAACCAGATAAAATAGAAATATACAACTTACTGTCTGTGATGTTATATTTTTATAAGCATTTTTGTTGTGAAGGTGTTTTTTTTAAAATCCTACAGAAAAAAAGAACTTGCTAATATAAGGTTCCAACATAACACTTTTAATCTAGTGTTTTATCATATACCGTAACTAGGTATGTATTTTTGATATAATAAAATAAGATTCTCTATTAATAATGTAGTGTACTGTATACTGTCAGAATTTCAGAAAAGAGAGTTGAATACTGGTCCCAAAATGTCTGAATATTGCTTAAAATATATTTAATCTTTTAAGCAATAATCACCTCTTCCCCCCTCCCCATTATAAATCTAGAGGCTTCATGGGATTGCACTGATAATGACCCAGCAACTAAGTCAAAATATGGTCTGTTTAATTTTTGGCTTAGTACAAATATGTAAATTTAATTAATTTTAATATATTTGGTAAGCCATGATGAAACAAACCATGGTTTAATACAATTATAAAGGCATTGGGGACAAAAGGTTTTTAGGCTTTCAGTTCCTAAACTTTAATATTCAGTATGCCTAATTATAGCTGC